ACCAACCGTGTCCAATTGAATCGGAATTCATATATGTGTACTGTGAAGGAACTCCTGTTTGTACTAGCATGCTAAAAGGGTTGTAATATTTGTATTTTAGCGCTGTGTTTGTACAATTTTTTTTGAAACTTTTGCGGCGCTTCGCGCCGCCGATTTATAAACAGGTCAATAAGAGAGGTCATGACTATATGCTACTAATGCATTAGGCTAAAAGTGAGGTAACTATATCTACTTCTTGGCTTTTAAGTACGTCGATCGCCCCCCCCCCCAGTAAAAAATCCGTAGCGACGCCCCTGTATAGGTGGGTTTCAGTAATTGAAACTACTGAGCCGAGTGACTAATAACGATAAAACTTCATCTTAGAAACGACGAAGATCAAATGTCATTTGATCTCGACATACTCGCTCCCTACCCCCCCCCCCCCGTCGTCAGAATTCATCCATCAGACCCGGCATGTCGGCCGACTTGTGACCCCCTCCCAAACGTTCCCCTAAAATCCCCCTTGGAAGGTTATATGATTTTGGGCCCTTTGAGACAATTGGGGCCCTTTTCCTTGAGGGCCCCTCGAGGCCTAGTCCCCCCCCACCTCTGAAATCATTTCTCCAGCCCTGTCTCAGATTTGACCTCAGGTTAACGGTTTAGCCTCCAGAGGGCAAAACTCCGTCACTTTTTAAGATTTTTTTTTCAATAACTTTTGACTCAAGAGAGACACGACATTATTTTTGCCAGCATCGTGTTCCTCTCGTCGAGATGCGTCGAATGAACTATAATTTGACCTTAAAGGTCAACTTAAAAATTTGACTTTAGGTCAAGGTCATGACCTGACCGGAAAAAGTCATGCTGCATATCAGTCGATCCATATCGTCGAGCCAAACACATCTAAGGCGTTTTCATCGCTCTACCTTGCCTCTACCAAAAGTTATTAGCGAAAAACTGTTAGATACCATTCGTGACCTGAGATGACCTCGGAGACATAATCATAGGTAGTTGCGGCACTCGGCGCTAGAGGCGCCGGCCGCCACATGCGGCGAGCGGATGACCACTCGTGAGGTCAGTTCTGTCCCGCATCTGATTTGTTTTGTAAAAACAATATATGGCCGCCTCTGGCCGAGTGCCAGCAACGCTGCTTTCTTGAAACGAGGGGTCACGGGTGCCTTTTTCCGGTTCAGCGTGTCATGTTTACTCGTAATTAAGTGTTTGAAAATGTTTAGAAAGGCGTTCGTCTAAAAGAGACGCTTCTCAATTTTCTCCCATTCACTTAGGTATAATGGAGAGACCCGAAAAGTGATCTGACCTTAGGTCATTGATATCAAAATTTCGAGATATACATTTTGTAAATATTGTTACTTTTATCAATCGCTTGAAGCTTTAATTAAAGCGATCGGTCACTTGGTATAGCTATGGCAGGCATTGAAACTTTTTTAGGAGGTGAGGCCATTTGAAGTGACCTGGTGACCTGACCTTGGGCGACCTTGGGCTAAAATTTTCACAACATGTGCGAAAAAGATGTATGATAAGGTGTGCCAAAAACGTGAGATATTTGCGAAAAACCGCAGGGGGAGGGGTGTTCAAAGTTCAAACACTCCCCAGCAGGGCGCGGGATAAACGAACGGCGGGACAAGTCAATTAAGAATCGGCTTCGACACAACGCGTCGTTAACAACTCTTGTGTTAACGCTCTGCGTTCCGTGTTCCACCTACAAATAGAGAAAAAAACACACCCGGCCCTGTCTATTGTCAAACATTCTTTCACTGTCGACTATTAGATTGCTATTGCAAGTGCCTTTAATATTACGCCATGATAAATGTATGGGCCCTTTTCACTCTGCAAGGGCCCTTTTCACCATGGGCCCCTTTCACTATCCATGGGCCCTTTTCACCAGGGCCTATTTTAACATGTTAACTGGGGGGGCAAATGCCCCCGCACTCAACAGAATTGCCCCCCTAGTCGTCGAGATTTGCCCACTATAAAAATGGGCATAAAGGAACAGGGTGACAAACATACTACGTAACTACTGTGACTTGTTTTGCAATGGATGTCAAATGAGTCAGTCTGTAAGTAATGCCCAGTGGTGTATCTAAGGGTGGGTCATATGGGTCATGACCCCCCACCCTCTTGGGGCCCGGGGACACCACAGGCCTGCCAGGGGCACCACCGGCCTGTCAGGGGGACCACAGGCCTGTTGGGAGCACCATCAACCTAGCAAGAGCACCATAGGTCTGCCAGGGGCACCACAGACCTGCCAGGGGCCCCACCGGCCTCGCAGGGGCACCACCTTGGGCCTGTCAGGGGTACCACCACAGGCCCGCCAGGGGCACCATAGGCCTGCCAGAGGCACCATAGGCCTAGCAAGGGCGCCACGGACCTGTCAGGGGCACCAGAGGCCTAGTATGGACACCACATGCCTGGCAGGGACACCACCGGCCTCGCAGGGACTGGGACACCTTGGGCCTGTTAGTGGCACCACGTGCCTGTCGGGGACACTCCAGGCTTGTCAGGAGCACCACAGTCCTGTCAGGGCCCAGGGGCACCACCGGCCTCACGTGGACACCACCGGCCTCGCAAAGGCATCATGGGCCTGTCAGGGGCCTGTCGTTGGAACTTCAGGCTTGTCAGGGGCACCACAGTTCTTTGAGATGCACCGGCGGCCTAGCACCATGGCACCATGTTTGGCCGAGGTCGCGATTTGGCTATGTCGCCTCGCATTAGCCGCGCGTTTGCAGTCTTTTCGTGGTTTCAAACGTTCAAACATGGGATATGATGTTGCTCCCATGCATTAGGGTGGGTGTCAAGATTACCGGAAGGTCAGGTCAGATCATTTACCTTTGATGACCTCGGTTCACATTTTCGAGTTTTATATGTTTCTAGGCTAGTTTTTGGAGCTGAATTCGAATTAAGCAACCATTTGACCATTTACGAAGTAGTTTTGGTGCCTTCGTAACATGTTACGAAGCTGTCAGAGGCGGTTGAACCTACTACGAATACCCGGCAAAACCCTTACTGGTTGATCTGACCTGACCTGACCTGGCCTAAATGCATGAAGACATCATCTATGATCATAACTAACATGATATTCGTGATCAGCACCCCGAAAAACCATAGCAGCCACTCTTTACGACGCTCTAACAGGTCCCGATTTTCCCGACTTTTGGGTCAATGACCTGACCTGGAAGGTCAACCGATGACCTAGGACCTTAAAATTGGGTATAATCGGCTTCCTTTCATCACGGGCAACACGGTCGTTTTTTCCGCGAAGCTCTAGCTCGATCAGGGGCGAAACGGCAAGGGGGAGGCCCCCCCCCCCTATACGCTCGCTACTGGAAACACCAATACGGGCGAGGGTTAATGGATTATTAAAGACAATTTTCCAGGTTGCCCCCCCCCCAGTCAAATTCCCTTAAAATAGGCTCTGCTTTTCACCATAGTACCCCACAGTCAAAAATTCGTGGCGCCGCCCCTGACCTTACCTATACCTACCCAAGTACGTACCTACCTTACCTTACACATGTGACATGCATTCCAGCCTTCACCAACTATTTTCTTGTTCTGTGGAAAGTGGATCTGATCTGACCATTTCAGGAGTTTCACCCCCTCCCCTTCCAACGTCCCCCGCCCTAAAATGTTACTCTCTGAATGATCTGACAGGAGCCAGTGTGAGACCTTCAAATTTTGCATCCTATCCCCCACCAAGCCATTTATAGCCAGCTCAAAGCCAGGTCACCAGGTCACGTCAAGTGACCTTACCTCAGAAAAGGTTCAAAGGGCCGCTATAGCTACACGACTGAGTGATCACTTTAAGACTTTCAGCGATTGATAAGAGTAACCGTAAATATAACATGTATATCTCCGATTTTTTATATCTGTGACCTAAGATGTCAATTTTACGACCATTGCATTGGTAGGTATAAGTCAATTGGGAGCAAATTAAAATGTGCCTCTTTTGGAAGAATGTCGTTCTCAAACGGCCCCTAAAGGCTAAAACATCGACACTGAATCAGAAAATTGCACCTGTGAACCCTCTGTGAGCCCCTGAGGTCATCTCAGGTAACAGGTTGTGAAAGGTCACCGGTGCTAAATCGGTGAAAACACGCCAGATGTGTTCAGCTGGACATTGCGGATCGACTGATATATGTAGTACCTATGTACATGACCTTTCCGGTCAGGTCACGATCTTGACCTGAGGTCACATTTTCAAAATGACCGTTCAAGGTCAACGTTTAGTTCATTCGACGCGTCTCGACGAGAGGAACACGATTCTGGGAAAATTAATGTAGCTTTTTAGTCAAAAATTATTACCGAAAAACATGTTTCGTGAAAATGGCAATTTTTTGACATTTTGCCCTCTGGAGGCTAAACCGTTGACCTGAGTTCAAATCTGAGAAAAATACTCAGAAAGGTCTGTAAAAAGGCTATGGAATGCGCTTTTCGGAGGCGCTGTTACTATTGATTCCGGCGAATTAGCCGTTGGGGCCTGAGGGGGTTTCGAAAATTGTTGAAAGAGACAAAATTTGACGTTTGATGACCTCTGAGTCTGAACCTTAGCTTTGACCTGACCTTAAAGATGACAGATGTATTTCCATCATTATTTTTTACGCTCTTTCGATTGCCGCTTACCGCGTGTCGCTACGTGGCCAGGAGCCGAGTTAGAAGGGAGGGGGCGTGAAAACGCCCCCCCCCCCGCACGACACGGAAAACTTGGGCCACCAGCTCGGCGCAGGTTAAAGTGTCTTGGTGAGCTATCTTCATACATCTATGTACTACAGAGGCGGATCCAGCTCAGAGTTTGGGGGGGGGGGGGCAAACCATAACAATTTATCGATTCTTTCCATGCATCGTCCATAGGCATAATGTTAAAATTATGCCGTTTGGGGGTGGGCAAATGCCCATTTTGCCCCCCCCCCCCTGGATCCGCCACTGATGTACTATATATGTAGGCTATAGCTTGTAAGGCAGCGGCCTGCATGGCAGTGTGGTACCGCACTGTCAAAGATTCACGCCAGTCATGTCCACAATAACTTTATTGCGTATAAGCATTCCAGACATGATACGGTGCATTGATTTGTCGGATGAATTCAGTCGTGGTCTGCCGGGTCAGTGGGAAGCGATTCCTCAGCCATGATATCCCCGTCCGTAGCCTCTTCCGTAGCCTCGACCGTAGCCCCGACCGTAGCCTCCACGGTAGCCTCCGCCGTAACCTCTGCGATATCCTCCGCCGTAGCCTCTGCCGTAGCCGAAGCTACGACCGCCGTAGTAGCCTCGACGTGCGGAGACGGTGGCGACAAGCGCTACCAGGAGCAGCAACAGCTGAAACGGGGGCGGGGAGACGGTCAGATATGAGGCGACACAGAACCCTCTGGTATATTAACCCGCGCCCTGCTGGGGGTCCTGGATTTCCACGCCCTGCTGGGGGGGGGGGGTGTTTGAACACCCCCCCCCTTGTAACTCGGCTCCTGGGCCACGTAGCGATACGCGGAAGGCGGTGTTCGAAAGAGCGTAAAAAATAATGACGAAATCACTTCGGTCAATTTTTTGGTCAGGTCAAAGGTCAGGTCACCAGAGGTCATTGAAGGCAAAATTTCGCCGATTTCCAGGTCGAATGTCGAAAATTTCCAAGAAGCCAACGCATAACTCGGGAACCAATAGACCTACAGCGCCGCGGAAAAGCGCATTCGATAGCCCTATTAACGCCCTTTCTGAGTAATTCTCTCAGATTTGACCTAACGTCAACGGTTTTGCCTGCAGGGGGCAAAAACTGCAAAAATAGCCGATTTTTTCGAAAACAGTTTTATGCAATAACTTTTGACCCAAGCCTTGTACGAGCTTACTTTTACCGGCATCGTGTTCCTCTCGTCAATACGCATCGAATGAACTATGTCTCGACCTTGAAAGGTCAACTTGAAAATTTGACCTCAGGTCAAGGTCATGACCTGACCGGAAAGGGTCATGTTGCATATCAGTCGATCCGTATCGTCGAGCTGAACACATCTAAGGCGTTTTCATCGCTCTAGCATGCCTCTATCAAAAGTTATTTGCGAAAAACTGTTAGATACCATTCGTGACCTAAGATGACCTCAGGGCATAAACAAGGGTCACGGACAACATTTTCAAGTTCAGTGTGTCTAAACCACTTGTAATTCGGTGTTTGGGAGTGTTTATAATGTCTTTCATCCAAAAGAGGCGCATTTCAATTTTCTCCCATTGACTTATAATGGGGAGGTCGCAAAATTGACCTGACCTTAGGTCATCGATATCAAAATTCTGAGATATACATTTTGTACATGCTATTGCTCTTAGCAATCGCTGAAAGTTTCAAAGCGATCGGTCACTCGGTGTAGCTATGACAGACATTGAAAGTTTTTATGAGGTGAGGTCACTTCAAGTAACGGCTTGAGGTTACTTCAAGTTCAAAAACGGCGGCGCTCCGCGCCGCCGTTTTTGAGATATTCGCGAAAAACCACAGGGGGGGGGGGTGTTCAAACACCCCCCCCAGCAGGGCGCGGGTTAAAATGCACATAAATATATGGTAGGTCGTTATTTTTTCGAAAGAAATATGATTTTTTCCCTTACCATATGTTACTTATTTATGAACCTTAATGATGAAATTCAAATGACCTATTACTTTTTTAAATTTTACTCGTTTATTTCAAACAACCTATTTTTTTTGACCCTACTAAAAGGCAATAATGCATAGGTATAAGTAAACGTTCGGTAAATGGCCCGTCAACATTCGTTGGCTTGCAATGCCCTTTAACCCAACATCAATATTTTAAATTTTACTCGTTTTATTTCAAACAACCTAATTTTCAGCTGTGCTAATTACAATATTTTTGACCCTACTAAAAGGCAATAATGCGTAGGTATAAGTAAACGCTCGGTAAATGGCCCGTCAACATTCGTTGGCTTGCGATGCCCTTTAACCCTACATCTATACCTACACTGTAAAATCAATGGGCAGTGCAGATTACCTATGTAGATAGGTACTTGATACCTATCAATCTCTGACTGATTAAAAAATTATAGGTTGGCTTCGAGCATGGGCATTATAGGTAAGAACATTGCTTATCTCCTGTCCTGCACCTACCTAAGATCTAGTGCTGGCATAAGTTCTCCTGATCATTACTTTTAATTAACGTCACTACCTCCCACCTACATCAATGTAGGTAGCATCTTTAAAATTAGTTACATTATCTAGGCCTACTTTTTAAATGCGTAGGTAATTATTTATAAACTGACACAGCACACCACACTCACCAGGATTTTGAAGTTCATTCTTGTTCGCGACTATTCAGGTGGGATGAGCAGTGTCAGCACAAAGAGAATATGCTGCAGCCCACGTCCGGTGCGTCTTTTATATTGAACAGTGGCCTTGGTGGGGAGGGGGGAGGGGCATATAGTTGCTCTTATTGGTGGGTGATCCGCGGGGGTGGAGGGTCGAGAAAACCGGATATACCTCCCTACATCAAAGCAGATGGCAGGAGAGAAACCGGCCTATAGTTCCGGCTGGGCACTGAGCCGACAAACATTCAGCGTAGACTGCAGCCAATCATATCGTCCTGAAAGTGGCAACGATTTCACACAATGTCAGCAGGGCTTCGCCACGGTTTTAGGATTGGGGGCCGGGGGTTCCTGCCCAAAAGGAACACCCTTATACAGAAGCTGCACTACGGAAGTGAGATTATGGGGGGGGGTGAGAGGGGGGTCCGGACCCGCACGAAATACCCGCTGGCGGAGCCCCCCCCCCCCCTATTTATAGTCACCGTGGAGCCCCTGACCGTCAGTGCAAGCTATTTTCCTAGCGTCTTTCGGTGTGCTGTACCTATAATGTCCTTTCTTTCGGTTACCATCTGTTTTGCTATCTGTGCAAGATTATGCAGTCCTAACGAGTACCTAAAAGGTAGCATTCTTTATTCTAATCTAACTTAAGTTTCAGTCAAACGAATAATGATTCCTATTCCTATAGATCGAATGCATAAAACCCTTTATTCAGGATTGACCTATGCAGAAGGGCTGACTGATGAAAAAGCTATAAGACGCTTAACTACTTGTTTAACAAGCTGTTGAACGTTTATTAGATGCTGGATGCATACTGTTAAACGTTAACTAGCCGTTTAGCAATTAGCAAATTACCTCACGTTTACTAGACGTAGACGCTTAACGAATAAGTTAACGTTTACTAGACGTTCAATAACGCTTAACAAATTGTTAAACGTGTACCAGCCGTTTAGCCTATTGCGGCCCTGCAGTTGCGCAGCTATTAGGGCGCTTGTCCGTGGCTCGGGAGGACCCGGGCTCAATCCCCGGTGCCGCCCTGCTCCCGGGTGCGTCTCCAGTCGCGCTACTGCTCCCGCAACAGCCATAGCCATATACGATGGAGGACAGGAAGCCCACCCAGCAGTTGGGCAACAATGGCCTGTTGGGGAGAGAAAAGAATAAAACAAATCATAGATCTCTGAATACCGAGTCATACAGATTACAGAAGTCTATGAATATAAAAATAAAATAGCAAACTGTTAAAAGTCTTGTGGACAAATGCGTCACTATTTAGGTAGAGTCAGGCAAAGCGCCTCGGCCCCAGGGTGCCCCAGGGTGGTTCAAACGTTAACGTATGCACGAACGTCGAACGAACTCATCTCCGCTCCTCTAGGTGAAGGCAATATTGAGTTGAGTGTTGTCTGAGTGAGGGAGTGGGGTGGTAACAGCAGTGCTAAAGATATCTCCAGCAGTGCAATCTGTCGATTCGGAGTCAAACGAAATTAGGAATACCTAGATATAATGCTATACATCCTATTGTCCGAGCATCGTAAGTGGGATGAAACGCCCGATTTCCAGACCGCTTTCAGTTTAGAAGGCATGCCTAAAAAGCTATGGGCATATATGTCACATATTTCTCGTCCTAGAAAGACCAGATCAGATAGGTAGGTAGGCCTAGCTGTCCTTTGACTTCACAAAATAAAGAGACCCTGAGCCTGGAAAGTTAGGGTGGGCACTATACCCCACCCATCCTTCCATTATCTTTGGCCCTTAGTATGGCGGACACGCAAAATAGGGTGAGCGCTATACCCCACCTATTCTTCCATTATCTTTGGCCCTTGAGTGTGGCGGACACGCAAATAGCCCTCTAACTATTGATCCCTTTTCCATTGATCAGAGTCCAGGGTTGCGGAATCGGAGTCGGAGTTGGGGTCGGTCGGAGTCGACAGTTTTGCCCGGAGTTGGAGTCGGAGTCGCCAAAATCTTACCGACTCCGACTCCGGAGTCGAAGTTAACGCTGCATGGCTACACATCATGCACTGCACCTGTTTGGTTGCCGACAATGCGCTCGAAATTATATTTCGCCTAATTTAAAATGGCCATTTTGCTATTTTGGACGAACGTTTTCAGCGAAAGAGGCAGAAAGAAGATGGTGAATTCCCCAAATCTGTTTTTTTTTTAATTCTGCATGTTAGGTATCTCATGCATATTTGCAAGGCAAGGCCTTGAACGCACAAGGGATCGTTTCAGGCAAGGTACATAAAAACATCTCATTATGAACTTCAATATCATGATTTCAAAAGAACCGTCCGGAGTCGGAGTCGGAGTCGGGTCGATTTTTGAAGCCGGAGTCGGAATCGGAGTCACGCTAAAATCCATCAACTCCGCAGCCCTGGATCAGACACCCACTGGGAAAACGTGTGAAGAACATATGTGTGATATGTGTAGAATTAGATGTTATTGAAAGCATTATGTATGCGACTCTTTTTCAAGGTCGAACGCCTCCCGGACCTCGAATTTATCAGCTAATATCGCTTCAGGTACCTAGGTAGGTACCTAGTTAGCTGTCAATGACGGGAAGATAATATGTAGGTCGTGAGAACCTATTGCCAACTGCCGATTGATCCACCGAATCGCTGGATGTTTTCACATCAGCAGAAACTATCAATGGACGGTTGTCGCTGTTTGTTAGATGCACTTTTACCGATCAATCGTCACCTTCCTTCCTTTGTTGCAGGTGTTAACCCAGAAAAGTTACGTTCCGACGTCCTTACTTCAGCTGTAGACTCGCCTGTAAACAACTGTAAATTATTTGTCCATAGCGCGATAGGGAAAACTAGTCCGCCTTTCCATTGTGTTCCATTCTTGGTATATTTTATAGCCGTGTGTAACTGTGTACCTAACCGGTATCGAATAAATCTAATATTATTTTTAGTCGGAGCAAATTGTCAACATAAAATGCGAACTAATGTGGCGTTATACTTATTAGCTCTACTCTTTCTGTGTGGTGTGTCGCATAGGGTGGAGGGGCACTATTTCAATGATAAATCCGTACCGGTCCGCTTTACGTCCACTGTGCCCCCATTCCCCATCCCGAGTTGTAACTACCTTCACTCAGATCTCTGTCCGTCTGCTCTGATTCCTTAGGACATTTTGCTTATCGTCCGTTCAGCAGGAGCCGTCCGTACCGTATAGTCGACTACAGATTACAGAATGATGTTCCACTCCTCAGAAGCTATCAGTTGACTGGAGCGCTATGTTGTGCCGTTTATCACGCAATTAAGCGTGTCGATTGTGAGTATTGGGACAAAGCTATAATTTATTAACTCAGCCCGTGTGATGCGGCACAGCCTACCACTCTAGGCAAATGATTGCCTGTGAAAAGTGGAACATCATTCTGTAGTCGACTATACAGCCCAACCGTTTTCCGTCCCGTATGACCGTCAACCGAACCGCACGGTGCCACTGCCAGTCTCTGTCTTATAATGTACCGGCTGTATAAGGGAGCTCCTATTCAGTCCCGTTTCAATAACCACATCGACAAATCACTCACTCCACATACAGATGCACACACAAATTATCAGTTGGTGATGTATTAAGTGCAATTTGTGTGCAATTTCGACAGCACTCGCAGCTCTTGGGAACACAATGAAATGGAGAGTGGCCACGGGTCTGATGGAAGGGGAGGTGACTAGCGGCGGCGGCGACCGTAGCCGCCGAGGGCGCCGCGACCCAGCCCCGCCAGGGCGCCGGCGCCCCCCAGACCGGCGCCACTCAGACCCGACGCCCCGTAACCCCCGCGAAGCCCGCTGGCGCCCAGACTGGCGCCCAGGCCCCCGAGATTGGCGCCGCCGAGACTTCCGCCAAAGCCTGCTCCCGACAGACTCCGGCCGAGACCGCCCAGCGAGGCTCCCGAGAAGCCGCCGCCGCTGCCGTAGCTGCCGCCTCCGAGACTGCTGCTCAGACCGCCAAGACTGCTGCTCAGACCGCCAAGATTGCCGCCGTAGCTGCCAAGATTACTGCCAAGACCTCCAAGACTGCTGCTTAGTCCTCCAAGATTGCTGCCTAGACCTCCAAGGCTGCCACCATAGCTGCTGCCTCCGAGGCTGGCGCCCAAACGTCCGAGGTTGCCGCCCAAACTGCCAAGATTTCCTCCACTTAGGCCGCCTAGACTGGCGCCCAAGCCGCCAAGGTTTCCGCCCAGAGCACCGGCGCCGTATTGGGCCGAAGCGGCGGCCAAAGCCGACAGCAGAACCACCTGAAACACAAGGAGACGCAGTTGTGACTCTGAACTGGAAGTTAAAACATCATAGCAGGCCTACTTCTTACAACTGCACTGAAAGTACGGATGGATAACCTATTCCCTTCATCTTTGTCCTCAGGCCTCAAGCATTGATCTGTCGCGAACTTTCTTAAAAAGTAGGTAGGTACTTACTGCTTAGATAACCTAAAACAATGAACTACTAGAAAGCGATAAATAACATTGCTGATGTTATCCGTCGACTTTCATTCATTTTTAATAATAACCATAATTAGTTATAAACATTATGATGGCGCCTACCTAATATTGAGCATACGAAAAGTATAGGTACATATGTTAAGGCTTTTCTAACCTAAAAACACAGAATATCTCAAAGACTTCGACTATAAGGAAGTGAGAAACACCAGAAGTTCACCAGAAGCACACAGGCCGCCCACGGCTTGGATAAAACAGATGACTTACCAGCAGTTTCATGTCGGTGGACTTGATCGGTGGTGGAGTGGTGACCTGTGGTGACTGGCCCTGACTGGAGGAGGGCACCTTCCTCGGGCGCCGGCCGCTTATATACGGCGCCGCTCTTTCCTAGGGAAGGTGCCGATATGGGCCGGTCCTGGATTGGCTATCGCCGCCGGCTTTGGCCACAGGGTGTCGGGCCGGAAACTTGGCTGGCCATTGTCTGACTCTGTGGACCCGTCGTTACTCGGCGGACCCGTCCGACTGAGTCACCGCCAGGCAGTGGCTCCCACGGCCGCTGCCTGGGATAGGCAGTCCACTGGCGGATCCAGGGGGGGGGGCCACCGGGGCCATGGCCCCCCCCCAAAAGCCTGAAAGGGGGGGGGGCCAACATATCTTTTGGCCCCCCCCCCAAAACGCTTGGAGAAAAATTAATGTGAGAAGGTTGCGTAGTAGATACCTACTAGAATCAGCAGCGTGAATCAATAGCGTAGAGAAAGTCAGGGGCACGGGAACTACTTTCAGACTGGGGGAGCACACCATAATAGAGATCAACCTAGGGTCCCCCCAAATCTAGTTTTCTCACCGGTTTTAGGCCACTTATTTTTCATCCCTTGGCTTTTTCAACAAAAAAAAAAAGAAACAGTTGCAAAAAAGGACGGTATTCCGTCTGAAAGTTGTGGGGGCACCGCCCCCACTGGCGGATCCAGGGGGGCCACCGGGGCCATGGCCCCCCAAAAGCCTGAAAGAGGGGGCCAACATATCTTTTGGCCCCCCAAAACGCTTGAAGAAAAATTAATGTGAGAAGGTTGCGTAGTAGATACTATAATCAGCAGCGTGATTCAATAGCGTAGAGAAAGTCAGGGGCGCGGGAACTACTTTCAGACTGGGGGAGCACACCATAATAGAGATCAACCTAGGGTCCCCCCAAATCTAGTTTTCTCACCGGTTTTAGGCCACTTATTTTTCATCCCTTGGCTTTTTCAACAAAAAAAGAAAACATTTGCAAAAAGGAGCGGTATTCTGTCTGAAAGTTGTGGGGGCACCGCCCGCACGGCCCCAGAGTTGGGGGGGGGGGGCAAGCTGCCACCACTGCCCCCTCCCCCCGGTTCCCGCGCCTATGGAGAAACTACCGGGTTTACTAGCTTCCTTCATAAAGTGTCGTCATGTCTTATCGTCACCCGAGAAGGTCTTATTGCATAAATATCGATTGAGCTGTCAAGTTTACAAACTTGCTGTGGCAGCCTGACCTGACATGACCCGGCAACTTTTCATTCACGGAATATGCGCAATAAATTTTTAAGGAAAACTCACTGAGTTTTCGTTGAAAAAAAAAACTTGTTTTGTTTCGTAATTGTACAAGAAGCATATGAGGGACCCTTTTGTCCCTTCCTGCGAAACGGTAAAAGACTTATTTCGGTCACAGCTCAGGCCAATCTCTAAGGGTCAGTCGGGTCACTTATTTCTTAAAAGGGTCCTTACGGCATCCAATGACCAATTCCGGCTTTTGAGTGCGCCACATCAGCATTTGATGCTACGACAGATGTCGAAATCTGAATATATGTTACAGGCCGTATGAAAATTCGGTCCGTTTGCAAACGGCCTGGCCCAGTCAGGCCATATGAAACTACCTGAAAACACCGGCCGTTTGCAAACTATGACCTGAAATATCAGACCGTTTGAAAACGACCTAGTTAGTTTCGGCCTAGCGGATCCAGGGGGCCACGGGGTCATGCCCCCAAGCCTGAAAGGGGAACAGCATATATTTTTTGTCCCCAAAAACACTTAAGAAAAATGAATGTGAGAAGGGCGTAGTAGGTAGAGAGAAAATACCGTATCATTAAAAATCTGTGAGCTTGATAAAAGTGTTGGTCTTGTCTTCACCCAAGAAGTTCTTATTGCACACTTTAACCATGGATGAAAGAACCTTCATCCCCTGGTTCTCCTTCATCCATGCTTTAACTCTCGATCGACGTGTGAAGTTATCGTGTAAGGTATCATGAAGCCGATCGCGACGAAACTTTAGTACCCTCATGGTGACAAAGTCTGAAAATTTCATGACCCTGACCCAAGTGAACTTTGACTTGTGGCCTATTTCTCGAGACTATGTTTGGCCATGTTGGAGGCCATGTTTGGCCGGAATAGCGATTCGGCGTATGTCGGCTCACATTATCCGCGCTTTCATAGTCTTTTCGTGGTTTAAAACGCTCAAACATGTGATATGATGTTGCTCCCACGCATTAGGGCGGATGCCAATGTCACCTTACGGTCAAGTCAGGTCATTGACCTTTGATGACCTCGGTGCACTTTTCCGAGTTTAACATGTTTCTAGGATAGTTTCGTTTAGCTGATTTTGAATTTAGCATTTTGCAGCCATTTGAACATTTACGAAGTAGTTTTGATGCCTTCGTATCATGTTACGTAGCTGCCAGTGGTAGTGGACACCTGCTATACGGACGCCCATAAGTACCCCTACTGGTTGATCTGACCTGACCTGCCCCGACATGGCCTAAACGCATGAAGACATTATCTATGATCCAAACTAACATGAAATTTGTGATCAGCACAAAAAAAAAACGTATTACAGCCTTACTTTAGGAGGTTCTGACAGGTCCTGATTTTCCCGTCTTTTGGGTCTGTGACCTGACCTGGGCGGTGTTTCACGGCACGCTGCCAGCCGCTGCCAGCGCTGATGGCACTTTTGGTTTCAATGGAGACATCAACAAGCCTATACCCACAACACTACCGAAGGCTGACCTTAGCTCGCGGAATGCGCTGTCAGCGGCTGTCAGCACGACCGTGAAACACCGCCCTGGAAGGTCAACCAATGACCAAGGACCTTAAAATCGGGTATCATCGGCTTCGTCTCGTCACTCACGGGCAACACGCCTGTTTTTTTTTCCGCGAGCTCTAGCTTAATCAGGGGCCGAACGGCAGGGGGTCCAACCGACACCTCCCAGCCCGCGAAGACTGCGCCACGCACCGACCCGGAGCGGGCTAATTGGTCGACAAAAGCAATTTGAAGTGTTTTCAAAGTAATATTTAGGCTCGGGTTGGGTGGGCTACCATTTCTATATTTTTTTTTATTTTTAGTTTAAAAAAAATATCGTTTCAGGGCTGTGACGAAAAAATAAGTGGCCTAAATCCGATGAGAAAACAGGATTTGGGGGTACCCTAGGTTTGGTTACTTGCAGGAGTTGCCCCCCCCCCCCCCAAACGCAAGTCTGGATCCGCCAGTGATAGGCACTACATCTGGCCGGCAGACGAATGGAGCAGCATCATACCACCTAAATGAGAGCTGTTTTTAGAGCTGTTTTTCTATGCGTGATTTTCTATGTGACTGGATAATATTTAGAAGCATTTACAAACTAAAAGCGAAAAGAAAATCGTCTATGGCGCGGGACGTTGTTTATCTCAAAAACCGTGCCAAGGTGGTCCATGCACTGGCCAAATTGTGTAAAAAACGAGGAGGGAGGGGTTTTAACTTTTACGATCTCCTCGATTTCCAATTTGGCTCCTTGGCTACGTAGCGGGCAGCTGTAGGTACCTATTCGGTACATACCTGATACATATACATTTAACAGCTCTTTCGCCAACGTGTCCTCATAATTCATCTGACGAGTGGTTTGGCCTCCAGAGGACAACGATGGTAAAAAAGTTTTTTATCTAGAAAAAGTGTCGCTTTGCAAAACTTTGTCATTGCGAAGTGATTTACAGCTCTCAGCTCTCTTTTCATACAGTCCGGTTTTACAAGTTTCGCAGCTCGATTTTAACATAATTGTGTTATTAGAATTACCAGAATCGTGTTTACATAAAGAATCGTTTTTCTCTGGTATATATAGGTAGGCGTATCCATTAAACTCAAATTTTACCATAAGGGTCAAGCTCAAGATAGATTTGACCTAAGGTCAAGGTCTTGACCTAAATGAGAATACTGTCGACCAATTGGTACTATCAGCGGATTAGCACTTTTTACCAGCCCTGCTAAGTGCTTATTCCTACAACTTAGTAAAACACGTCATTATTCATCTGGTGGATCGCACGGTTCTTGCAGCAGCGCATAAAACGCTGAGTCACACTTGTTTTGAGCTTCGCATTAGCATTCCTGGCGTGAAATAATAAACTTGCGAAACAAAACCAGTCTGTCTGTATTTCGGAAAGTCCACAATGTAGTAGACATCACATCAATGTGCCTTATAGCCTGGGACGGGATGCCAGTTAGGTACTGCCTGGGTTCGCTTGCAGTCGGTAATCCAGAAAATTGGATACCAGTTGCAGCGTCATTTGGCCGTGCACACACCCGTTTTTTCCACGAAGCTCATCCTCAAGCTTCGGAGGGGGGGGGGGGACGGCGATGGGGTCATAAACCAATCACCTTCCCCTAGGCCTAGACCACTGGCGTATAACCGATGATAAGTCCGGCAGATAACTCGATCCCTTTCTAACGCCGCCTATTTATCGCCGTAATACGTGGCCCAGGAAGCCGAACAATGCGTCGTCACGTGTATCAAAGGCCAAAACACTGCTTCCATTCATCATTGTTGTCAACATATTTACTGCTAGAGGGGAATTGTACGTAAGATTATATCGTGGACAATTCAAGAAAGGGTGCATCAAAAGGTGTCTCAAACGGTTGCAATTATATCACAATTCTGTCACAACAATCGTTCCCGTTTCAAGGATCAAGGGAGGTATCTGAAGTGTCACGAAAGCGTCGTAGAGCCAACGTTTGCTTCCTGTTGTTCGCAGTTTTTCTGTAGATCGTTTACGAATCACACCACTCAAATAGCCGCAGTGTAAAAACGCGACTTCTCTCAGCCTCTTTGGAGAGGGATGGTGGGGACGTGAATGGTACGAGCGTGCAGAACGGAGATGTCTCCCGTTTACTAACGAGGGTAAGAAACGTGGACACGCACAACAGATCCCCAACAGATCCCGGGGACACGCTTATAGGGATGCACTATAAGGACTGTAATCGCCACGCCCCGTGTGGATTGTCCATGACGGTAATACAACATAACACAATACAATACAATACAATACAATACAATACAATACAATACAATACACTATTTCGGTGATTCGCTGAAGACGGACATATATCAACCGGGGACGCGCTGGGGACGAACATATGTATACCCCGGTGACCTGCTGCAGGGAGGGACGGACAGAACCGAGGATCTGCTGGGGACGGACATATAACCGAGATAAACTCTGAGCACGAACAGATATCCCGGGGACACTAC